TCTATATAAAAAAATAAAGTTGTTTAAATCTATAATGAAAATATTAAAAAATAAAGTATCTTTTAAATAAAAGATTTTTTCTTAAAAAATATTAATATTATTAATATTACAGTTAGACTTGTTTATAATCATTACTTTTGATCACATATTGATTTTTTCAAAATATATATTTATAAAAAGGTTTTATTATATTATGATAATATAGAAATATTTTTTATTAATTTAATCATAACTGGTTTTAATATAGATATGATTATAAAAAGGTATTTATATGATATGATTATTGACAGAATAATTATAAACATGTCTAATTGAGCATAGTGAGCTTTTCTTTTTATCACATAAATATCGATCAATCATTTTGCTAATTTTTTTAAGTAATAATCTTTAATTATACATTTTTAAAAAATATCACAATAACTTTATCCTTTGATTTATTATTTTGCAATAGTTTCGATTAATTTGTAAAATATGATATATTAAATATTTAATAAATAAGTTAAATAAAATTAAATAAATAAATAGAATAAATATGAAATAATAAATATTAGATAAATTTTTCATCTTTGTTTTCTAATATTAATAATAAATTAGCGTGATGGTTAAATGGTTAAATAAATGAATATTTATAAATTTAAGCATAAATAAACTAACCAATTATCTTAATCCATTTCAAACTCTATTATCAATATTGTTTAAATAATTCTAATGCGTTCACTAAAGATGGGAACTATAATTAATATGTTGCAACTTTTAATGTTACAACTTACGTTGCAATTAGTTTTAACCTATATATATTGTAACTTATAATGTTGCAACATATGTTGCAACTAATTTTAGCTTATGTTGCAATATTTTGTAAATTTGAAATCAATTGCTATACCATCTTTAGCCTTCACTAATTTACTATTTATATCATCTGTACAAATGACTTCATTAAGATTACTTTCCTGCAAATTCACTTTATTTACTAATTCTTCATTAACTTTGTCAATATTATCATCAAATGTCATATTCAATGTATTTTGAAATATCTTGCAATGATATTCAATACCATCATAAATATATTTATAACAATTTGAAAATTTTCGATTTGCTAGAATAAAACATTCTATATGTTATCTGTAATCACATAATGAAATGCCACCTGATACCTCTAATAATAAAATACACATATTTCAATCACATAGTTTATCTAATCTGGGTAAGCAAGATGAATTTCAACCCATTGGAAGAACTTTTTCATCCACAATTATATCAAGAGTTGGTAAATTATATTGCCAATATTTCTTAACTTTTTTTTTTGTTGTACTTCCACAATTTTTCCAAACATTTTGAAATAAATTTAAGAGAAAAATTGCAACTTTCTTTTCCAAAATTTTCAATTGCTTTGCTGTATAAATAACATTATGATTATTTGAAAAATTTTCATTAAAGAAATTATTATCACGCATTTGATCAATTACTTTCGCCTGAAAATAATTTGCTGTGATGTATTAAAATTATTTGTTTGATGTCAAATAGAACTATGAAAATTTTTTACATAGTAATCATTAAAAATGTGAAGAAATGTTTTAAGAGTTTTTACTATTAGATGTTTAATATTTTGCCAATAAAAAATATTACTAAGAAATGCTAATGGTAATTTGTTGTAATTTTGCGACGATATCGATAAAAAATAGTTCATATACGTAACATTGCTTGCTCATATATTTCTTAATATCTACTACGAAAAATTATTAGATAAAAATCCAAAACTAATAGAACTATATTATTTAAAAGATCAATTAACATATGTGCTTCAGAATCTTTAATATGATAAAAAAGATTTTGTATGGATTCTTTAATTAAAAGCCAACCCTTAAATGCAAGCTCCAAAAGTAAATTAATCTGATATGGTTGGCAAAATTTTTCGAGAATCAAATATTGAATAAAGCATTTGTTCAAAAAAACTATAATTAATAATAAATAAAATTTCTCAGCTATTTAAAGACACATGTAAAGGACCAATAAAAGGTACTATATTAAGAATGTGATTTGACTAATTGATACTTTTATTTTTGAATAGTTTCTCTTTGAATTGTAAGCCCAACATTTGCTAAAGTTTCAACTATTGATGTAGAAGTTCCTGACGCATCTAATAAAAATCCCACTTCTGTTTTTACATTATTAATAAATTTATTATTAAGAACTGCTAAAAAATAACACATCATAACAAATCTTTTTTTATTTTGTTGATTAGTTACAGAATTTTTCTTCTGAGGATTTGTATCAGCAATAAGTTCATTAAAAAAGCCCTGTAGTTTTAGTTCTTCTCTTTCTAACATTTCTTTAAATTCATCAGGATTCATAAATTGGATTTTCTGTTGTTTTTTATATAAAATATTAAACATTAAACAAATATTTTCACTAATAGAATCTAAAAATAAAAAGGATTAATTAGAGATAAAGTATAAAAGTAAAAAAAAAATTATTTTATTACATACTTAATTTAACTTGATCAAATTTTTTACAAATTTTATGATATGCAATTTTTAATTTCTCAAATTCTTTAGCTGAATAAATATAAGCAATTGTTACGAAGAACATAATCATGGTGTTTAAAATTCATATTTAAATTTTGTATCTTTTGTATTGATGGCTGATAATCAGAAGATTATTTGTTTTCTTTGTCATGATCTATAATAAGACATGGATTACAAATAAGTATACCAGTTGGAAGATTCAAAATGGGTTGAAGCTGTTGTGGAATTTTTACAAGAATATGTTTTCGTGATCGACCTTTCTTGCTATTTTTTATATACACTTCATGTTTAGGATGAGCATATTGCTGTTTCTTCACTGCATTTGCTAACTGATGATTTTTGTTCACTATTAATTTATTGTAGTGATGACAACATAATTCTTTTCCTATTAAATTTATACTAAGATTTGTTTTAGGAATCTTGAGTATATCTGTAATAAGAACTGTGCTATTGGTAATATTATCGCAAATAAAGGTTGTGTTATTTGAAAATTCACAAATTTGTTGTTTTTTGGTTTTTTTTGACATTTATTACAAAAAAATTTAAAATATAGATGTCGGATAGGAGTTTTTTTAAAGAAGACAAAAATTAGACAAAGATTTTAAAGAGAATTTAAAATTTTTTTTAAAAAAAAAATTTCAAAAGAACAAGAAATGAAGTCGAAAGAAATTTTATAAAAGAGAAGGTTCAAACTGAAATATTTTTACATTTAATTAATAAAGTTATAGACAATATAAACAAAAAATTAATAAAACTCAAATATTAATACACTACCTTTTAATTATTTATCTAACGACCATTCTTTAAGAAATAAACAAAAATATCTATAGGCTATTGTAATATTTATAATACTACTATAGCTTATATTCTGTGAGAAGTTTCACTATACTTGTAACTTCTGAATTATTCGTTTAATATTCAAATTACTTTGTAAAACATTAGAGAAAAACCTGATAAATCAAAATTTATCTTCAGTTATTGTCAATAAATTCTCTGTGGCGTCAATAAATTATAATAGCGAGATATCTTTTTGTGTAATCTTTCGAGATTAATAATTAACAAACTTAATTTATATTTAAGATCAACAAAAAATACATCTAATTTATTAATCATTTAATTTCGATCACTTTTATTTTTTTAAAAAAAAAATATATATTGATCATATGTTGATTATGTAATTATTCAAAAATTAGAATATCTGCTATATATATCTTAAAGATATAATAAGTTATTTAAATATTAAAATATAAAATTAAAATTACAATTTTTTTTTAATATATTAAAAAATTTTTTACAAGTAATTATTAATAAAACTTTATTTTTTTAATATTTAAAAGTTAAAAATAATTTTATTAAGCATATTAAAATCTAAAAGTTTATAAAATAAGTAAAGGTATAGTAAAAATCATTTTATAAAATAATTAATAAATATCTATTAAACAAATTATAGTTATATTAAATAATAATTATAATAAAATTTATGTTACTTAAGAAATAAATGTTAAAATTAAATATAATTAATTAAAAACTAAAAAACTTTAAAATTTAAAATAAAATAAAGTTTATAATAAAAATTAAAATAAAAATTTTAGTATAAAACTCAGATAATTAAATAAAAAAATAATTTTTAGGTAATAGTTTATTATAGAATCTTTCAAAAAAATTATTAAACTTTTAGCTTGAGAAAAGTTGTTATAAAAGAATTTTCAGATTTTTAAAATAAAAACTCTTTTAATAATTGATTAAAAAAAAAAAATTACTATTTTTTAAATTTTTTAATTTAGCTTTAAAAAAAATGAAGTTATTCAAAAAATAAATATGTTAATAAAAAAAATATCAGAAAAATTATAATATATAATACTTTTTAATAATGTAATGATATTATATTATAAATCAAATTATATTTTTTTTTTTTTAAAAATATACTGTATATAAAAATAATACTTTTATTATTAAATAGAATTGTTATTAAAGGTAATATCTAATGATATATTAGAATTATTTTAATATATAATTTAAAATTTTAAAAAACATTTTTTCAAAACTTTTAAATTTTATTAAATTTAGATCTAATTAATACAAAATTCCAAATCCTATTATGATAAATATGTATTTTATCCTTAAAATGATCACCACTGAATTACTAAATTAGGACTTTCACAAAATATTCATGTTCAACAGATAAACAAAATTTTTTTTTAACTTTAATAGGATAATGCATAAAAATTAAAAAAAAACTATCTTATCCTAGGGTCCCAAATTTTTAAACGGCGATAATACAATTAATAAAAGAACTAATTATTTCCAATAAAGATTAAACGCATTAATAATATTAACCAAAAACAAATTGATCATTTCAATGATTGAATATTCGATCATACTACTAAATATTTACATCACTTTGACAATTTAAATATTAGCTTCTTACAATATTTTTTTCAAAACTTTTTTCAATACCAAATTCGAAACCAAAACATGTCACTCATAGATTTAGATGTTGGAGTAGCAAATTTAAAAGGGGATCGTGAAGAGCAACTGGATAGATTTGATGTTAGAAATCATTATTTTCATGATCAAGGATATTCGTTATTTATCATTTATGATGGACATGGAGATATGAATTTTTCAAAGGTACGAAATTTGATCAAATAAGTTCTAGAAAAGAAGTTTCGAGGATAATTTACTATCATTTAACAAATTTGATTTTAAAGCACGCCAAAGAAAATTTAGCGGATTTAATTGTAAATGACTATGAATTTAAAAATAAAAACTACGAAAAAGCTTTTGTTAACGGATTTAAACAGGAAGATTATTTATTAAGATTAACATTTGGTACCCAAAAACAAGGTGGAACTACCGCTACTGGTGCGCTGATTTAAAAGGTTTTCTCGTCTTGTTCTTAAAAAATTTTAGTATTATTAATTTGATGATACTTTAAAATAGCCGCGTTATTTTTAAGGAATTCCGATACTTTTTATATAGCTAATGTTGGTGATAGTTCTGCTGTACTTGGTACTAGACCCGGTCGTAATCCCGAAGCTATACCAGTCAGCACTGACGATAAAACAGATGACAAAGTAGAACTTGAGAGGTAATAGAATAAAATTAAGTAAATTTCAAACACGCTTATAAAAAAATTTTTTTATTTTCCTCTTATTATATTAGACTTGCTAAAGCGCACGCAAACGTTAGAAGGGGAAGACTCCTTCGTCAAGGTCATTCCGTTAATATGACTAGAGGTTCGCTGTTTATCTTGGATGTATTTTACAAAAATTTACAAAAATTACGTACTTAATTTCTTTTTTTTTTTGCTTCCGGTAAACCCTTGGAAATAACATTTATCATTAGCTCTAGGAGATTTTGATTTCAAAGCTCCATCTACACCAACTGGTCAAGATTGGATTACTCCGGTTCCTCATACGTATAAAATCGATCTTATTCCTCACGAAGATGAATTCCTGGTGATTGCTTCAGACGGTAGATAATTTTTAAATTCCCAAGAAAATTAAACCGCTTTGTTTTGGTAAAACTATATCGTTGTCTTTATTTAGGGTTGTGGAATGTTTATGATGAGCAAACTGTTGTTGAAGCTATTACAGATGGGCTTGATAAAGGATATGATGTCCACCAATTATCTAATGCATTAGCCGCAACTGCTATAAATCATTCTAAACCGAGCGATAATGTTACTGTTATGTTGATATTTTTCGTTTGGGATAACAATTCACCACCTGAATAAATATTTTATTTAAGATATCGTTGCTGGTTGCAAATTTTTATGCAAATCATGTGGTTATCTTTTGAAATCTCGCGTATATATATGAAAACGAAAAAAAAAAAAAAGTAGAAATGGCGATCTACCTGTTTAAGACAAGTTTGGAGATTAGTATGATGCTTCGCCACAAACTTTCGGCGACGAAAAAAAAATTATTTCGAAGAAAAATCTTATACGCCCAACGTGGGGGTCGAACCCACAACCTTGAGATTAAGAGTCTCACGCTCTACCGATTGAGCTAGCCGGGCGAATACGATAAAATTTAAGATTTTATTATATTTAATGAATAAAACAGATTTTATTATTCAAATAAAAAATACAGATAAAGAAAACTAACTTAAAAATTGCTAAAATTGCTTAATTGCTTAATTGTTTAATTGCTTAATTGCTTGATTATTTAATTACTTTAAAAATAAAAATAAAATTCGTTTTTTGAATAAGTTCCAAAATACCAAATATATTAATATTTGCTAAATGCTATTATCTTCATACATTTAAAAAATTGGTATACATTAAAAATAATAAGAAAAAAAATGGACCCCATCCATTTATATCGTCAAAGGATGATCAGCTAAACAAAATTTTGATTAGCCCAGTTCATCCAGAAGTTGGTGGTCTAGAGGAAGGAGAAGGAGGTGGTGGTGGAGGTGGAGGTGGTGGTGGTGGACGGTTGGTTGCATTATTTATCTGATTATGACGGTGGTGATTTATACTTCGCCGAGGTAAAGGCGATGTTGTTAATAATTGTAAATAGTTAAAAGTTAAAAGGTTCAAATTATTATTATTGAATAAAAGGTTATTTGGTGTATTTTGAATAGTATTTCTAACCAATTCAATATAGCATAACCTGCAAATTTCGGGAAACTCTCCTTTAGCCATTAGCTAGCTTAAAAAATTAAATAAAAGAACTAGGGTATGACTCTCTTCCTTTTATAATGAAATTTATCCATATCACAGGATTTTTGATTTCTTTAATGTGATAAAATCAAATACCGGAAATCTGGGTCCATAATTTTTAAAGTTTCGCCGGAAATTTCCGGGGAACCGCCATTTCCATTCTTGTTGAACATTGGTAAAAAATATAGGAGACTGGTAGTGAGTCTAATCGTTTTTATCTCACGCCAAATATCCACGTTTGGATTGCTATTTTTGTCGAAGAAAGGATTCAAAATCCAATTTGTCTTTTTGTATCAAAGTTTTTAAAATAATTATTGCAAATAATAAAAGGTGTTTTAAGAATTTCTTCTAAAGTATTCTGAACACGGATAAATTGATATCCGACTTATCATACCCTAAAAAGTCATTCCATGAAATCTTTTCAAATAAAAAGCTTTTTTTTTTCCTTTTTTATTTTAAAAAAAAAATAATTAAAATAATTGATTTTAACGTCGCGTTTTTGTAAATAATAGTTCATGTTACAAGGACATTTGAAACACTGATAAGTCCGTTTTCTGAATGGTATTTTCTATTATTTTGGTTCAAAAAGTTTTATCAGTGTAATACAAAAATTGTCGAGAATATTAATAAAAAGATTGAAAGAACTTTCACTTGATTACTTACTAAACGGAATAAAGCAATTTTTAACGTTGATGAATCTTAAAAATTTTGAATTCAAATAAGAATGATAAGGAATATATTATGAACCTCCCACTTAATTTGGAAGTAATCATTTTAATTAGTATTAAAACTTCATTCCATTTGTTGTACCAAACCACTAATCTATTTTTTTAATTAATTTATTTTATATGAACTTCCATTTTTGAGGATTCTAAAATAGTAAAAACCGTTACTTACATTGTGATATAAAATTATTATCACGATATCGGAAAAATTATAATTCGTATCACGACATCAAATATGTTGTACTTGTTAAAAGAAAAATAAAGAATGAAAAAGAAGAATGAAAAAAGAAGTATTGTGCATTAAATGGTTGAACATATAATTCATAATTATAATTAGAAATCATTTATAACTAGAAGTAATATTTCGATAAAATATCGGGGAAAATTTTTTTTAACATGGCCATAATTTTTCATTGGCGAATGTTACGACGTACAGTATTTCACCTCCCTACCAAAAAAGTCTATATATAATTTTTAAATTTCAATGTTTTTACGCATGGTATAAAAATTTCAATAACTTTATTAAAAATTAAACAATGCATTATTTTTTTTTTTGTACGCACCCCTCTAATACTTTAACAATTATATTGTAATACATATATCGCAATAAATAAATTTGACTTTATGCTAAATTAATGAAGTTTTTGTAAACGATTTTTCTCCGAATTTTACCTACAAGACTGATAAAGCAAAAAAAAATAATATGGTTTTATTTTCCAGCGACCGAGCTGTAGTAATTCGAGCCATCTTACCTAATTGGCTGATCCTAAATACATGTATTTTTTCGATTGATATTCATTGGACATGTAGTACGATTATGTCCACACTGATTCCATACAACCTTTATTAACTTCGTTAGAAGCTTCATGCACACTAGCATAATATAGGTTTTGATTATTAAGAGAAACATATGGATTACCATTCAAATTCAAATCCAAATTAACATTTGTCTTAATTTTTAATTGAATCGAGAATCTTATGGTTAAAGAAAGTTCGAGTTAATTATCCGACATAATGTAAGCCTTTTAAAAAAGAGATGTTAAAACGTCTTAACAAGATATCTCATCTTTCATAGAAATAGAACGTCCAGAAATTATTGGTGCATGTGAGAAATCGTCGGGACATTTGAAAAAAAAAGGAAAACGTGACAAACCCACAACGTCTCGAAACATGAGTTGTTGCAGGTTTTGGCGCGTTCCCTTATGTTTTCCTGATTCATTTGTCGCGTAGAAGATTTTGAATTTAAGCTAGCCTACCAAAAAAAATATTTTCAAGCTTGCAATTGCAAAATCTACTCGTCGATTGAAAATAATCACATTTTCGCGCATGAAATATAAAGAACGGCAAAAAAAAAATTTTTTTTTTGCTTTTAACAAGAAAGTTAATAAACAATATTAAATTGCATGCGAAATCAACTACAAAGAAACATCATATTTAATCCTCGCGATTCCAATCAATATACATGCCGTAGCCACAAATCTTTCGATAAAAAAAAAAAAAAGTTTGATTAAATCATTACACATAATAATGCATCATAATAAACTTATTAGAAAAAAAAATTTTTTTTCTTTTCGGATTTATTTTTCTTTTAATAGATCTATTAGATATACTGTAATAGATAAATGGATAATATTGGAACGTACGTTTATCAAATTGGCGTAAGAAAAAAAAAAACATAAGTTCATTGGATTTCGGAAATTTTGCTTTTTTTTCATCACCATAATCGGTTAGATAATTGGATAAAAATAACTTCAAAGAGAAAGAACAATATCAATGATTTTTTTTCACATGTATTTTTTTGATTAATGTTTGTAAATGTTTAAAAGTCCAAAACACAAGTTCGTGCATCAATAGCACATTTCATGCAGTTATAATGTTCTCTTGTAGATCATCACACATCAAATTAGTAGGAAGAAAAAAAAAGATATAAGTACGAAACGAATTCAACGACGAGGAATCAATCCAATTTCCTTTCATCATTAAAGAACAAGATCAAACACCAACACATATCATATTCTTATACTTCAATATGCCAGAAATAACAAAGATAAATATTGAACAAGCCGTTGAAAATTCAAAAAATTCACTAGCATTTCTTACATTAACAACTCATGAAAAGGATAGAACGAACGCATCTCATGAAATTTTTAAATCGACATGGCAAAACAATTTTTCTGCTCCAGTTGAAGATTTGTTAAATGCAGGTGGCGCAAAAGTTCTTGATGCTGGCTGTCATCCCGCCGCGCCTTGGTTAATGGATATGGCAAAAGAATATAACAATTGTAATTTCTTTGGTACCGATATTTTACCCATTCCTGAACCAAAAAACAAACCAAGGAATCTTAATTTTTACCAATGCGATACCTTGTGTGGATTACCTTTTGAAAATAATACCTTTGATTTTGTATATCAGAAAATTTTGGTTTCATCATTTTCGGTTGAAGATTGGGCGAAAGCCATCAATGAATTAATTAGGGTTTTGAAACCTGGAGGCTATTTGGAGGTAATTTCACTAATTCATGCGTGAATAAAACAATGATTAATATACTTTTTCTTTCCTAAGCTTATGGAATTCGATGATAAATTCTGGAATGGAGGTCCAGAAGGAGACCGATGGATCTCGTATAGTAAGTATCAAGCAGCACCTGATTCAAAAGAGTAATAAATTGATTATTATAATTTCTTTTACATATTTCACAATTAAATAGTGCATAAGATGTATGAATCTAAAGGAATAGATCCCTATATTGTTTACAGGTTACCATCGATGTTAGAATTAACTGGGAGACTCAACAACATTCAACATGAAGAAAAAAGATTTTATTTCGGTATGCCCGGAAGGATTGGTGAATTGGTAAATAAATTAACATATATTTTTATTATTATTGATATTATTTTTTTCGCAATTGATAAATAACAATTTAATTCTATCTTTAATAGATTAATTTCCATTATTCCGGATTATTCACAAGTTATAAGAAACCCATCGTTGATTTTGTAGATGATTTAAGTTATGATGATTATGATGAAATGATTGAAAAGGTTCTCGAAGAATTTGAAGAAAATCACACTTCAATTAAAACTAGTAGAGTTTATGGACAGAAAATTTAGAAATATAAAATAAATTTTGAATTAGGTTTCGATTGTAAATTCGTAAATAAATCAATTCTTACATATGTATTGAATTCTTATAGATAAGTTTTATGTCTTTGTAGTAAATAAAATCTCATAAGATACCTTTATTTTTTGTAAATGAAATCTTTACTGTACGCAGCGTAGCAATCACTTTGTTTATGTTGTTTTCAATTTGCGTCAAAATAAATCATTCTTCATGCGTGAACTTACAGATTATTATCAATTAAAAGAAATTGATTCATTAGAACCACTGAAATGAGCGATTGAAATTAACATAAATTCTAATAATCGGGGTGAATTTTTTTGACATAATTTGACATTTATTCGAATATTTTAACTAGCACTAAAGAGGTTCAAAATATTTAATTAATAATATACAGTAAATGACCCGGTATCATGTAAAATAATTATTTAAACTATTTCTTAACCTTTTCTTTTCTTACCACGAAATAATTTTTTTTCTCAAACCCTTTTCAATAAACATTCAATATTTTTATTTAATTCTAATGGAAATGCAAAATTTTAATAATGTAAGATTATAAGGTCATAATCGTTATGTTTTAAGAATAAGCAGCTACGAATAGATTTTATGAAATTTCTTATTACATTTAGTGTGTTTAATAAAAGGCTTCATTGCAAGAAATATTTCGATTCCAATACAAGCAAGAAAAAAAAGGAAAAAAATAATTAGTTATGCTACTTACATATAATTCATAAATTAATATAATTAATTAATTTTACTGATACACATAAAAATTGTAGGATGCTGATTATTATAAACTTTCTACACTTTTAATTATGCCATGACATTTTATTCTTTGCTATTATCGTTTTATTTCTCTTTAACCTTATGTAAATATCAAGCAAAAATCTTTTGTAAGTGTAAAGTTACAAATTGCCATTATAAAGCATTTCTGTCATATAATAAAACAATCTAGCCAATTTGAAATAAAATGAGCCTAGCAATAGATTGGTATTTCAGGTGTTTCTATTGCTTGATTTTCTGAAGCACAACCGATATTTATGTATTTTCATAAAGTAACTATCCATATTTTGCAAAATGATTCAAAAAAAAAAACAGATCTTGGATTCAATTCCCGTCGAATGAGTCACTTCCAACGCGTTTTAATAGTATTAACGATAATCGTATAATATAATATTATATTATCCGATAATTAATAGCTTATATTGTAATACCATGATCATAGTTTAAATAAATATAATAAGCCGTATAATGAAATAAATGTGATTTGTTAGTATTTGTATAATAAAATCTAATTTTATAATTTAATGTGTGAGCTTTAAATAAATTTAATAATTGATTTGTTAGATTAATGAATGTTCTAATCGTAAACCAGCCAACCCATTCAAACCCATTATACAAAAGATTTAAACCAGAACAATACCGTCCTCCACGTCTCAATTTGATCCCAAAAGATGCAAATAAATTTAGTAATATAAATATAAAAAAAAAGTGCAGTACGGAACCGTTTTTTTTTTTTTTTACAAATGTATAGAATTTATAATTTGTTTGTTTTTGATATTTGTACAAATCTTTTAATGATTATTTATTTAATTGGTAAAATTGGTAAGCTAGTTAACTATCGAACAACATAAAAATTCTTTTGGTAAAATAAATTTGTATAGACAGATATAGACAGATTAAAAGCTTTATAAATAAATAACATGAGAGTGAAATTTTATAAAACAATATTATTACCCAAAAATATTGAATTATTCAAAGCAACAAAATACTAATTAACAGAGAAACTATCACAAATTATGCTTTGGGTAATTTCAATTAATAATTTTTTTCCAAATTGCCACCAAGATTTTTTTCACAACGTCTGATATTTCGTAATCATTAAGATCCAAATTGTATCCAACTAAGTCTTCACCCTTCCAAATATACTTCACTCTTGATACTTCAAAATTATTAATTAACGAGGTATAAATCGTATCATTCACACTTCCTTCTTCTGATTTTAACCTAGTCGAATTGTCATCTTTAAAGTCAAATCTAAATAATTTAGAAGTGACAAAAGACGAACTAGATGTAAATGCATCAATGAAACATTTTAACATTAAATCATTATATAACAAGGCTGGCATGAGGGTGAGTATAACCATGTTATTTAAGGTTGTATCTTCAATCTGAACAAATCTTTCAAAATATTGTTTTTCTTTTTCAGTGAAAGGTATATCATCAAGAATTTCTGTCAATTTTGGTCCAACCTTTTCTCCTAAAGTATGTCTCAGAGATTTATTTATAAATTTCTCAAAAACTTCAAAACTAGCAGTTCCAAATGTTTCAAGAATTGAAATAAAACTATTGTTTTCACTTAATGACTTTATCCAAGTACCAAATGCATCTGCTGTCATAAATTCAAATTTACGAATCATTGCCGTTAAAAAAAAAGGTGATACTGATAGATTACCTATTGTTACTACCGCAAAAGATCCAATTGTCCAGAAAATATCCCAATTATTATTTTCTGAAGTTATAAACTCGCCATGTACAAACGCGATAAATATGACCATTTTAAATAATGTTTGATCAGATATCGTCATAATTAAAAAAAAATTGAAGATCGTTTGATTTTATACTTTTATTTTTATAGAAGTGTATCTTTCTAGCAAGTTAAAGAATATTTGTATTATTATAAAAATAAATTCTTTTCAAGAAGAAATTTATAACTTTACAAAGCAAGTATCGCTGGGCCACTTATGGGAATTTACTTTTTCTGTCATATCCACATCTATTAATCATTCATCCTAAAGATGCAACGCAATACCGTGGCCTACGGTATGTGGCTGCGTAAACATCCTTCGTAAGTTTAAGTTTTATTTTTTGATTCAAATGTTTATTGAAATCAAGGTCATCAGAAATTAAATAAAATAATTTAATTAAATTAATAGTTATCCAATTTAAACCTTATTGATCTCTAAGCCTTAGTATCAGCCATATGGCATAAAAGGAACCGGTTCATTAGATTTCGTGAATATATAATTTAATTACGGAATAGATTCATAAAAAAAAGTTGTGGGAATTAACCTTTAAATTTCGATACATTATAACATTAGTCATGAAAGAAAGTGTATAAGCATTTTTTTGTTTTTACTGGGATGTTTAATTATGTGATAAAATATATTTTTAAAATGAATGTTATTTAATAAAGCAAGTTATTGAATGCGATACACTATTTCAATTATGAAGTGATAGAAAAGTTAATTTTTTTTGGCAATTTTAAAGTAATTAATGAAGGACTCATGTTCTTGTAAAAGAAAAAGTGAAGCCCAGCTGAATAAAATAAAACAGCAGGAATAAGGATTCAAAACAAAAATGTATTTATGGTTAGTTTAATATCAAATAAATTGTTTTCAGCTTAAAAGGGACATTCCGATTTTGTTGGAAAATATGTAATTCTTACGTTTAAAATTGGTTTACACATTAAATTGATACTTAATATTATAAAAAATAAATACATTGAAATTGTTAGAATTTGCGAAATTTCGTTCAATGTTGTAAACGTAATTCGATCATTGATTAAGTACGAATTCTTTATGCTGTAAAAACGTTTCTTTTATCCACTGGATCCGATTGGTTCAAATAAAAGACTGTTTCAAAGAACGTACCAACAAACGCTAAGTCTTTAATTGATTTTAATGATTATGTAAGAATTACTTTTCATTATATATCAGCATATTTTCATATCAAATCATATCAAATGAGATATATTAATTTCCAAAGTATATTACATTTAAGAGTATAATCGCATGGATATAACAATAACAGTAAAATAAATCATGACTCTGAACCAATATATGCAGAAGCTTCCGGAATTACATTTTAATCTTTGATTATTTGGATAAATTCGATGAACGTTTGGCTCGTTATTATCATAATTTAAAGGTTAGATTCTTGTCTTGTTCTTATGAAAGTTTAGTCAAGAAAAAAAAATTTACATCGTAATCCTCTTCTCCTCATCAACATCGTCATCATCGTCGAATATAAATCTCGTGATTAGAATGTAGCTTCAGTTCGGTTTTACTAAGAAAACTTAGTAATAACTGATATCGCAGCTTCAGTTTTACTAAGAAAATTTAGTAATAACTGCTATCATAGCTTCATTTTTACTAAGAAAATATAGTAATAAATGTTATTGTGGCTTTGGAATTATTTTATTAGTTTCAAAGTTGCAGATGCATTTTTTTTACTAAATTTTTTAGTAAAAAAATGTCTTTGAAGCTGCAGAGGCATTTTCTACTATAGTTTCTTAGTAAAATAATATTTTTGAAGCTACAGATACATTTTTTTACTAAGTTTCTTAGTAAAAAAAAAGTCTCCAAAGCTGCAGAGGCATTTTTTACTATAATTTCTTAGTAAAATAATATCTCTGAAGCTGCAAAGGTATTTTTTTACTATAGTTTTTTAGTAAAATAACATTTCTGAAGCTGTGAAAGCATTTTTTTTACTGTATTATAGTTTCTTAGTAAAATAATGTTTTTGAAATCACAGAGGCATTTTTACTATGGTTTTCTTAGTAAATACCACCTTTGAAGCTTTGGAGATAGTTTACTATTGATTCAAATCAAATCAAATATTTGAATTTTTGATTTGAATTTGATCAAATTAAATCAAATATAAATTTGTATTTGTATTTGATTTGATTTTCAAATGAATATTTGAATATCAAATCAAATTGCAAAATCCTAGTATTTATTACTATTAGCCACTGATGTTATCTCTTTTAATTTCAATAAGTTTTTCATTATCTGTAACATATTTTTTGCCACCTGATTTTTAAACATTAGCATCAAATAATATATTCTTTTATTCAATTTGAAACTATTTGAAGGCATTTAAAGAATGCGGTCGGTCGAAATGCTGCATCTAGTCATCATATTTTTGATTTTATTGTATTCTTGCTAAAGTGATTGGGGTTGTTACATTTTAGTTAAATATATTATAAAGAAGATTTTTTAATAAAATAATAACAAAAATGTTTAGTAATTTACTAAAATTTACAAATGAGTTTTTTTTAAAAAAAATAGTAAATCTTGACTAATCACTATAAGAGAGATGATGGACTTTCATTCTGATCTTTTTTATCCGTCTCACTTATTTTGGAAGAATGGTAATAAGTAATCAGCTAGCATTCGTAATAAAGATCACTTTTCATATTTTGTAATTCATATGTTATTATTCACAAATAATCATTTAATGATTTTTACTCATTATAAATTTTTCTAGAAATAATAAATTAAAAATTAAATAATCTTTAATAAATCAAAATTCAGATAAAATATACTAAATTCAGAATTCACTAATTTTATATACTCATAACCTTTTTATTTCACTTGTATCATTAAGTCAATTATTAAGATTTATGAAGGCTTCAAAGTCAGATTATTAATTTGTTAATAGAAGATTGAAAATTTGAAGCTAAGACTTTTCGTAATTCTGAAATTAGACTTAGTTGCTTTTTGATATTTTTTTGCTATTAAAAGTTTCATTATAATTTAAAACTTATTTTGAATTATATATTCTAGCTCCTTTCACGTTAGACTCTTTTATTAATAAATTGTCATTATTCTTAAAGATGATTTTCACTAATTCATAATCCATTTCATCATCAGTATAACAGACTAGCTTTTTGCTTTTTGCATCTCATCATTTAATAAAAGGCTTATTGTTAAAGCTGTTTTTCAGTTATCTTATTAATTTGAGCAGCTATAATTTCACAAATTAATCAAGTCTGAAATATTTAAAAAAAAATAAAAAAAGCAAATAAATTGTTAAAATATAAATTCTTAAAATACGAATTTTATCTCTTTTGTAAATTATTGTTTTACTTGCTAAATTTGCTAAATTTATCATTAATTTTAACAAGGAATCAATTTTTAAAAGTAAGTTGTTTATTTTCATAAGAAAAATCAAAATTTTGTCATTTGAAATGCTCGATTATTTTGTCAAATTGCTTCTTCAGCTTTCAATTTTTTATATAAGAAAGACATTGTTAGATTACTATATTTATTAATCAGAAAATGAAACAAAATGATACTGATTTGTAAATCATTGAATTCATTGATAGTTATCATTTTAACTAAAACTGAAGAAACTACCATCAATTCACATTAGAATTTTGATGGAAGCTAAATATTCTCATATCATTTTTGTAATTTATCAATATTCACTTAATCTATAATTTGGAAATTTGAATGAGTATTAAATATATAATATGATAAAAATCAATTTATGTTCTGAAACTTTTAGTTTTTCATCAGATTTTTATTTTACTTGTTTCAATTATTATGATTATTCTGCTTGTTATGCTTATTGTATTTTTTATTGTTGTTTATTTGATTATTTTCTTTTCATACTATTATAGAAAAAGTAAAAGTTGATTAATAAAGATTTGATAAATATGAAAATTAAATTTATATGATTAATTAATTAATTATATATGCATGCAAAAAATTATGCAAAGAGATATTAAATAATTATTTATTTTTTGAAAAAAAATAAGAAAATATTTAAGGAATTGCTATTTTCTAAAAAAAGTCAATTGAAAAATTAGTACTTTTATAAACCAATTCTTAATTCTTATTCATTTGATTTTGATATACCTTTATTATAATTCATTTTTGCGATATTGCTTATTCAACTTTCTGTTTTTTAAAAATCAACCTAAATTCTTACTTATTCAATTTAAAATTTAATTTTTGATAAAATATCCTTACAAAATTATTCATACAAGATAAAATTTATTTTTTCAGTTGAAATTTAGCTGGTTATGATTAAATTTAATAATATTTCCTTTTATTTCTTTATTTTCTTTTTTTTTTATATAACAAAAAAAGTTTAATTTTTTTAACTGAATTTTAATTTATTTATAAATTAAAAATAAATAAGCTTAAATAAGCTTTTAAATATATTGTATTAGAAATATTAATAAAGTATAATTGATTAACTATTTGATTAAGAATATGTCTACAAATAGGTAATTATAGAATAATTGTGATATAATATTGAGAATAATTGCAGAAATTAAGGTCTGATTTTGCAATTTTGGCTAAAATTAACATAATTTTAACTGAAATATATATTTAAAATTATTAAAGTATAATACTGCCAATATCAATTCAAGAATGCTAATTTTACCACCTTTTGAATCTTCTTACTGAGTCAAATCAAATGGTATAATTTTCATCAAAATCCAATCATAGGATATTATTATGTTACCAATAAGGGTAATGACATTTATTAGCTGAAGTAAGAGATAAACAAAAATCTTATATTACACATAATATATTATATCACATGATAAAAGTGGCTTAGTATTTAATAAAAGATTATTTTACATAATGCATATACAGTCGTCCTCCCTTATAGTTACAGGCCTTGGGACCACCAAAAATAGTGATTATAAAGAAGTGTGCTTATATAGAAGTTTTCTAAATTTAGAATTTTTTTAGAATTTTTTATAATTTTTATAAAAACTTATAATTTTTTCATTTTTAAAATTGTCATTATTTTATAATTTTCATCTTATTAGTAATTATAATTA